TCTTTAAAAATCACATGATCTGTAAACCACCTGGAGGTGAGTTCCTACCTCTTCATTTGGACACAAACTGGGCCAGAGGTCATCTAGCTAACTTCAGCAGCTATGCAAGATCTCTGGGTACCCACAACTGGCCGATGCAATTTGACCATCACTTACAACCAGCTTTTGAGAAGTTATCCAGGCCTGGAGAAGGTCTGGACAGCAGGAGCAATGAAGTCGATAGAGTATGGATGTTACTAGCAGGGTGGAGGAAAAAGTAATTAGCTGGTTAATAACAAACATGAATTTGTCAAGAACAGTTCAACCCGTCCTTTTCCAGTGACAGAAAAAAAGCAGCAGGAGTTACCCTAGCTGTCTTGCCATCACTCCAGTTACTTTGAAGTCTGTCTCGGAAGCAGAATGAAGAGCATCTCAGTGAAACTACTGTAGATGTAAAACAGACGGAGGCTTTCACTGTGCTCCAAAAGCACTATATACTGTTGATCGTGTCCCAAAGGATAAATAGAAAATACTACATCTGTGTATGTCACCACCATGTTATGTTCTGCAAGAAAAACTGGCAGACAGCATTAGAAAGATTCAGTAAAATAGCCCTTCTTAAGTTCTCCGTGGAATAAAGACTACGTAATGTTACCAAAAAATGGGACATTACAAACTGGACATAGTCAGCTGTATCACATCATTCTTCTCCCCAAGCTCGGTACGATCTAACTGGAGCACTCCTGTGCTCCTTAGATGGGTTTGAACTCTTTAACTTGTAGGTTGTATTTTCTAGACCCTGAATCATAGATAAAGGCATTGAATCTGTTTACTCTGGAGGCTACAAGGTTTGCTGCAGAGGGGAAGAGACATGGCCATTTGAATAGGACTTATTTCCAAATAACAAGAGAGCAGGTAGAGCAAAACAAAGAACAAGATGATGGTTTTTGTTCCTTCTAGCCCAGCCCTCCACAGGAAGTACTGCTACCAAACAGGTATCAACTTACTTCATCATTACGTAGTTAGCAATCATCCCATGTTCAATTCTCAGATAGTGCTGGTCAGGATGGATGGACCAAAGAATTTGAAACCTGGAGAAGTGCCATCAGTGAACATGACAAGATGATGAAGAACTGGCAGAAAGCACGGGTAAGAATTTTTGGAAAAGGCATCTCCTACAGTGCTTCTACACTACAGTCCCCAGTTTTATAAATGGCCTATGATGCTTCTGCAATTGAATGTATTTATATAACAAAGTGATTAGTGTTCCTGTGTATGTCATCATTCTTTGCCCTCTTGGCAGTAAAATCTGCTCAACCCATGACATAAATGTGTTATGGTTATGTCAGCTTGCTCCTTCACTCCACTAACCAAGTGCTAATCAGTCAGTAGTTCTCATCCCACCCAAAACACAGTCTGTGAATACTGAATGTAGTACATTAACTTCATCACAGCTATAGACTAATTGGATTGCAGAGGCTGCTGGGCTTCATAAATGGTACTGTCCATCAAAGCTGTCCTTCGTTTAAAAAAATACTCCATAAGTAGCTTTTAATGTTTTTCCCTAACAGAACAAAGATTACTTCTGATAACATCTGGATATGACATATGCTTGTTGCACGTACAACAGTTAGCATAGCCAACCTTTAAACACCATTTTAACTGTTAAAGCAATATTAACACATCATTCTGATTTTTTTCTTCTTCAGGAGAGCTGCAACAAGAAAAACAGCCTCTAATGGACAAAGGGATGAACAGACTAGAAGGAGAAATGTATGCAGGTTAAAGTACCCAGTACTCTTAACATCGCAGCATTCAAAGAGGTATTTGCAAGTACTAGTGCTGACATTAAAACCGATATTCAGGAGAATCACCTGAAGCTTGAGGTAGACGGGGATATCCTTACTGCACCAAAGCATAACTAAGCTACATGCTATGAGAGAGGCCACCCATCCCATGCTGAAACTCCCTCTGGCGTTCTGATGCCAGTTATTTCAGCTTCATGAATAAAAGTGGTCTCAGTAAGACTTGTGTTGCTCGAACAATATAATATGATGCATGGCTTCTGTTTTGAGTTCATTAAGCAAAACTGTTAATTTTGGGCTTGAGGATCTTGGCATATGATTTAGAGATTAATAGTAAGATGTGGATCACATTTATTTAAAGGCACTTCAACTCACCCATTTATTTTCTTTGAATGTGTTTATCCTTATACTCTGTTTCCATTGTTTCTTTCTGGTGTCAGCAAGTTCATTTGTTCAAACACATTTCCTTTGTTAATAAAGTTTTTGTACCAAATAAAGAACTTCTGGCTAATGCTCAAAACCGATCATTACAAAGCACCCAAGTTAAAGCAGCCTCTTGTGTTTTTGCAAATTATTCTTCTATATTTGAGATAACGGTGGTAGCTTAAAAAAATTCTATGTTGAATGAATTCTATTACTAGTGAACAACTGCAGATTGAAAATCCACAGCGAAACTGTTTTACTGCATTACTGTTCAGAGTTTTGTCCTTCTGAAACTAATAAACAAAAGTCTGAGGATAATTCAAGTTTTCTGTCTTACTTGCTTCCAGACTGATAAAGTAAGATGCCACCTAGGAGGCACTACAGCTTGAATCCATGGGGACAGCTGCTCCTAGCAATAGCAGAAAGCTTCATACTTACCCCTAAGTTATCCCCTATCCCCTGCCTGGTAAGATTTAGATTGTTTCCCACGTTGAAGGAAGCATCTTCCTCACTCTGAGACTTTCCTGAATGACCTCCCCCCTCAATACCAGACCACCTTGTGGTCAGACATGCAAGGTGAAAACTCTTATACACAAACTATCTTCCCTATTCTTCGCATTTGCAATCATACATTAATGTTGATGCAGACTTCTGCCACCAATGTTCAGAGGGAATTTTTCCCCCACTGTTTCTCTTATGACCTCTTTTATGGCTAAGGGACAACTATAAAAAGACTTTTCTCGAATTGTCCATCCTCTATTTATTCCATAGATTTGAAGCAGACTTAGTTCAGCCTGAGTTGGGAAGGTAAGGCTTTGTAAGACTGAAGTCACAGTTTTAGATGAGCGTAGCCGAGCTTTGCCTTGTTTCTGCAACAAAGTACTGCAAGTAGTATAAAAAAGATTGCCAGATTTTTTGTTTAGCTCAACTTTGTGAAAGAACATCTGTGTAACAGAATTAGTTAACAAAGCTGTGACCACTTACAGTGAACTCTTTTGCTGCATTTTCAGAACAGGGAATAACTCCCTACAATTCTGAACCTGTAATATTTCCAAAGTAACTTTTCATGCTCTTCTACACTAAGACAAAATAGAAAATATGGCCCAAAACCCCACAAGCTGCTTACGTGATCTTCACCAACTGATCCCCATTTCGTGCGGTGACTAGGTTTAGCAGTTTCAGAGTTTCAGATGTATATCAAAAGTGGCACAAGTATGCATAAATCACAGCTTACCTCTGGGGATCAAGGACATCTGCTGGCCAAAACCATCTTTCATCACTGTGATCCTTCACGCTCAATTTTCATTTAATATTAGAAGAAACTAACACAAAAAGGTCATCATCATAACTACTGACCAACTGTGCATTTCAGCTTAAGGCTGGCTTCCCTTTACCAACATTTTTCCTCAAAACTGACATTTCAAGTATCATTAAGAGCCCATCAGAGGAGTTTTCACTTAAGTCACAACCATAATTTATAGAATCAATATATTGTAACAGATTTTATTTGATTTACATTCTACAAAACTTTTTAATTTCAAAATTATTTAAAGTTTTTATATCACTTCTAACTTCACAAGGCAGCTACTTTCCAAGTTACTGCACTACATATGTTCAATGTGGTAAAGCACTTACGGACACCCTTCAGAGATGCTTGCAGCAGCACATGGCATCTGTATCACCTTTCAGGACAGAAGTTACTCGTGCATCCTCCAATTACTTTCTTTAGGCTTGTCATCCTATGTCTGCAACTTGCAAGCAACAGTATTTACATAAGATATTCCCACTAAGGTGCTCCACCACCATTATGAGCACATTTTGTTTTTAAATCTTTATTTCCTGTAAGATATACATTTTTATTTCCTCTAGGATATAAATTTTCCCTTAGATACAAACTGAGATCGATCAAAAACTCCTACATATATACACCGACACAACCCCATACTGAAGGAAGGAGAAGTCTTAACATGGAGGAGGTACAGATAGGAGAGCAGGCTGGCACATTTTCTGTCCTTCAATATCCTCTGACTTCAAAGCAGGACTAGTCTCAGTAGCAGCAGAAACATCATCGTTGTACACTTAATCAACTTTATAAAATTTCTGAACTGAGAATTTTCACTTCAGGAATTTCAGACCTTCATAGTCAATGCTCTCTGCTTCACGCCTGCTGTATGATCCCCAAAGAACAAAATACCACACAGAACAGCTAACTGGGAACTCTGTCATCATGGCCTTCCCTAACTAGTTTTGATCAAGCTGCCTGCCCAGAATTGATTTCTTGCTGACTGGAAGAAATTTACATTGATGCCAGCCTGCCCATTTGAGCAGGTTTACTTGGAAGAAGAAAACAAAACCAAACCCACAACCAAAACAGAGTTGGAGTTCTTTAAACAACAGTTACAAATAAAAAGCAACTCCCTGCAAGCCCAAACCTCCTGGCTCGTGGCATCTCTTCCCAAACAAAATTATCTTTCTAGCAAGTTCTTTTCATATATTGTACCACGAACAAATCAATGCTAGTCCACAAAACCACTGAAGTATGCCAAGCCAGTTCAAGTGGTTCAGGGCTAAGACAAGTTGCTCTTGTCATCTACTATAGTAATCAGCCAAATACACAGAATATAAAAGCATTAGCCAGTGCGTCATGTGCTCCAATGTGTATTTTGCTTAAAGGGATCCAGAATAGTTTACTTAATTGACTTCATATATTTCTTGCATTATTTTATTTTGCCACCTTCTTCCTGGGGGGGGGTCTAAAAAAAAAATTTAAGCCCAGTAGAATTAGATCTGGATTTACTGATGTTCTTCTGAATTCTTTATCACCATGTCAGCAGCTGCACTCCTTTCCAGTTCCAGTGCATATGGGTTATACTCTTCTTCAAGTTTTCTCTTCCAGATTTTAACTAGGGAATATCAGAATTAAAAAAACAAAACAAAACCTGTTATTGTATAATACTTGAGGAAAAACTTAAAATCAAGAGTCACACTGATTCTCTACTTCCTCCTCGAAAGTAAGTGCTTAGGTAAGTCTGCACATGCGTGTGTTGGCATGCACACAACGCAACATCAGATGATGCATGAAAGAATTCTTTCAGAGTGATGGGATCCACTGAGGTCCTTGTGTCCAGCCCCCGACTCAAGTAACTCTGAAGGTGTATACAACTTTAAAAAAGTGAGAAGTTTTCAGAACTTTCAATGAAGTTTTAAGTTGCCCGGTATCTGTGATGTATCTTCTTGTCTGGTGACTGTATGAGCAGAGCCGGAGGAATGTGTTTCTAGAAGTGGAAAGCCTTTACAAAACAGGAACACTTTTGGACAGAAAGATGCATCTCAACCAGGCTTCAATACAAAACTTAAGTCCACCATAGTTATAGAGTATGCACTTGTAGAAGAAAAACTAGAGAGTATTTTCTAACAAATAGAAATAATAAGGAGCTCTGTTAAACCTCCTTCGACAAAGCAATGAGTACCACCTGCCATCAGTGCATTTTGGAGAGCAACTGTCTCTAAGACTTTCTGAGCAAGAGCCGACCTCAGGTTTATAAAATTAGGGGCGGGGGTAGAAATCACAGAAAAACAGAAATTCTCTCCTTACTAACCACTGAAGTGTCAGGTGTCATTTGTTTCAGTGAAAATGGTAGAATTGAAGAGCACTCTGAATGAAAACTGAATGAAAAACAAGTCAGTAAATACTCACTATAATTTGGTACATCCTCATCAGAGTCCTTAGAAGATGTTTTACCAGTTTCTGATAAGCCATTTTTTTCATATTCAGTCGTTAAGATGCTGGATTGGATTTCTCTTACTCCACCTTTAGCTTCTTCCTCTAAAGCCGCTATCATATCTTTGTAGGCCTTCCTGGCCTCTGTTGTCAGTTGTACCATTCTATGAAAATGGTCCTATGAAAATATAAAACATTAGCAGAGCTTAAACCATACAGCAACTTTTAACATCTCCACGAAAATCTGCAGTGAATATTTAGAACGTGTATCTTCATAAATAAAAGTTGAGCACCTAAGTATGTATAAAGACATAAAAACAAATAACTTACAAGCATTTAGAAAATGACCTAATTTGCTTGAAAAAAAAAATTGGAAAGAGATCTAGATGGAGAGGATGTCAGGAAGAGATGGCCAAACTACTTCTTTGAACAGTGCTGAGTGGCTGTAATTCTGAAACAAATTTTTCATATAAATCCACCGACCTGGGATAAAGAGTACAAGTGTACACAAGCAAAGCAAACGAAACCTGAACATCAGAGTACTTTTTCATCCCCTTACAGGTAAAAACTAAAGCCAAACAAAAAATACAAGCCTATACCTTTCAGCTTACCTGAGCCCCATCATAGCTAAAAATTCCCACCACGCTCACAGGCACCGCTTTGTTCACACAGCGGCCTAGGGCCTTGCGATTCAGGGCAAAAACAAACGGGATATTCTGTTCACAGGCACAGTCGATAATGTTGTGTAGAGTCTCATCCAGCCCACCTGGAGCAGACAACAGAGACAGCAAACAACGACACTGTTCAAGCTGGTTGTAACTACGGGACAGTACTGTTACAAGATTGCAAAAAAATGCCCCAAGATTATGGGTACATTTTGAAATTACAAAAGTTTACAGGGGAATAAAAAAACCCCATGGCTCTCAATAACAGCGCTAGATCTCAATTTTTAAAGGACATTTTCACACTTTTAAAAAATTCTTAATTAGCAGTATCCTTAGACTGCTACTATTCTGTATTTTGTTATATAGTCTAATCTAGTACTAAAAAAAAGCCCCAGCTGCTAAGAAATTATTTAAAAGTTAATAGAAAGTAATGACAGTAATTACAACAAACTATCAGTGACAACTTATTGTCAATCTGTGACCTAGAAGAGACTGATACAGCAGGACTTCTCGTGGTGGTGCAGCTGGCATCAGCAGCCTTCATCTCTTCTCAGCTGTGCCAGTGCAGCTGCACTGCAAATCGGTAACTGAACAGAACCCAGTTTCAGGTAACTTCTCCCACCCCAGACAGTCTCGACTCAGCTCACCCTTCAGCTGCAGAGCTGTAAACAATCTGAAGGCAGCAGGCATCTTTACATGAATTCAAAGACTACTCAAATAAGTTCCTCCCATAATAATACTGCTACCAGTCTGCTTTTTTATATTTCTTTTATTAAACAAACTTTTTTTTTTTTTTTAGTTATTTACCCTTTGACTGAATCTTTTCACAGTTAGGAGAGATGATGACACACTTCAGTTTTTTCAGCTTCAGATGTTTCAAAACTTCTCTAAGGCCCATAACAAGCCTGCGTTTTATCTTGGCCTTCACCGGGTCTTTCTGATACAAGCGATCTTGGAAACGAACCAGTTCTTTCAAGAGATCTGTCACACAACTGTCAACTTCTTTACTCAGTACCTGGCTGCAATAACTGAAAGAAAGAATCAATCAAGTGTTAAAAACCCTAAAATTACAAATAAGTAACACAAATATGTAATATGTAAATTATGTAAAATATGAACAGTTTACCTTCTATTCTATGTCATCATCTTTTTTTCTATTTCTACTCCAAACAACACTTGTTATATACATGAAAATAAAAATGTACTGAAGATTTTTTTCAATGGCTGAGAACTTACAGAAAGTTTTGTTACTTGTGATATCTGGCTCCCCTACCAAACTATACTAAAAATACATACACACACATACAATAAACCTACATATATATTTTATACCAATAAATACATATGCACGTTTTTCTATTGAAGCATTTGTCTGAGGGCAGTTATTACCTATATTACCTACATGAATCAACGTACAGCAAGTGAAGTATAAAATTCTAATTTAGTTCTATAAACGCAAGGCTACTCATAACAAAGATGGAAATCTGGATCAAATTCCTCATCTCTGGGTTCCTATTTTTTGTCTGCCATCCTATTTCACTTACCACACTACTGCCTTCTGGTGTTCATAAGGAAAGGATTAAAATGGATGTAATTAATCCTTCTACTATTCCCTGGGAGAGATTAGGGTTCCAAATTATCTTCTTCCCCCATCTTATACACAAAGAATCATTCAGTAAAGACAGGTCCCAAAGAGAAAAACTAAAGATATCTCAACTGCACAGTCAACAGAAAGATGCCAAGTGGCAAATTCACATAAGATTATGTGAAGAGATTGCAAGATCTATCCTGGATCTTAAACATAAAATTATCTCAAAATTTTATTTAAGTTACAGAGTTTTTATTTACTATCTCCAGTTGATTTCACTAAGTCTCAAAGACAAGTCTACTAAAACACTGAAAATCTAATCTAAAGACACAAAATATTCTAAGCTTTGCTGAATGCTCTAGATCCTACAATAGGCAGAACCAAGTTGCCCTGTACATATTCAACCCTAACTGTGGTTTCAGTAAAAGAGTGTTGCATAGAAACAAACCAAGTAATTTTTAATACAATTAAAAGTTAAATTAGAGATGACATATGGCATGGGGAAGATAAAAAATGGCTGTATCAGTATTAACCTTTACTACAACATGAACAGCAAAAAGGCCAGTGGTGCCTTTATAGGAGGAAAACTGAAAGTTAAAACACTGCTTACAGAATCACAGAATCACAGAATAGTAGGGGTTGGAAGGGACCTCTGTGGGTCATCTAGTCCAACCCCCCTGCCGAAGCAGGGTCACCTACAGCAGGCTGCACAGGACCTTGTCCAGGCGGGTCTTGAATATCTCCAGAGAAGGAGACTCCACAACCTCCCTGGGCAGCCTGTTCCAGTGCTCCGTCACCCTCAGAGGGAAGAAGTTCTTCCTCATGTTCAGACGGAACTTCCTGTGCCTCAGTTTGTGCCCATTGCCCCTTGTCCTGTCACTGGGCACCACTGAAAAGAGCTTGGCCCCATCCTCCTGACACCCACCCTTCAGATATTTGTAGGCATTTATAAGGTCCCCTTGCAGCCTTCTCTTCTTCAGGCTGAACAAGCCCAGTTCCCTCAACCTCTCCTCGTAGTGGAGATGTTCCAGTCCCCTCACCATCCTTGTAGCCCTCCGCTGGACTCTCTCCAGTAGCTCTTCATCCTTCTTGAACTGGGGAGCCCAGAACTGGACACAGTACTCCAGATGAGGCCTCACCAGGGTAGTGTAGAGGGGAAGGAGAACCTCCCTTGTCCTGCTGGCCACACTCTTCTTGATGCACCCCAGGATCCCATTGGCTTTCTTGGCAGCCAGGGCACACTGCTGGCTCATGGTTAACCTGTCGTCCACCAGGACACCCAGGTCCCTCTCCGCAGAGCTGCTCTCCAGCAGGTCCACCCCAAGCCTGTACTGGTGCATGAGGTTGTTCCTCCCCAGGTGCAGGACCCTGCACTTGCCCTTGTTGAACCTCATCAGGTTCCTCTCTGCCCAGCTTTCCAGCCTATCCAGGTCACGCTGAAAAAGAGTAATACACCTTACTTATTTTTAGTGTGTACTCTGGTTTTCTGCTGCTAGACCAAATGACAAAAGTATAAAGAATGTGATGAACCAGATGACGTTTTCGTGTTTCAGAAACTTACCTGAAGTAACTGTTTCAAACTGTCATGACTGGATCTCTGACCTCCTCACCTACAGTAATGACTATTTCTTCTTTTATAAGGAAACACGTATACACATCTGTTTAAACAAAACTTAAGTGCCGCACGCATTAACCCACAAATCTTCCCTTTATTTCTCTGCCTAGCCACAACACGAAAACGTCATCTGGTTCATCACATTCTTTATACTTTTGTCATTTGGTCTAGCAGCAGAAAACCAGAGTACACACTAAAAATAAGTAAGGTGTATTACTCTTTTTTTGAAATATTAAGCTGGTGCTCAATTTATTTAAAACTAGGTACTTATACTTTAACAGCGACTCCTTTTCCTTCCTTAGCCTCTAATGAATTTCTGATCTTTTGTTTTCATTCGAGGAACATGCATTTTGAAGTGAGATTTACAACAATGTAAAGACTATTTCTCAGGATATCGTATCTTTGTGTGTCAGTTTACAGAAAAAATGAAAAAAAAATCCAGAACCTTCAGTCTAAACTCCAATTAGTGTTGCACAGATTGCAACTGAAGTATCTTGTTTGAAAAATGCTATATTGGTGGCACTGTGGAAAAACAGACCTTAATATAATCAATACTTACTCTCTAAATTTCCTACTATGGATTTTTGGAAGATTCGAGGTTAGCTGCTTTGAAGTCACAGAGCCATCTGTAGTTTCCTTGATCCCTGTGTTTGCCGGAAACCCTTCAGCAGCTTGTATTACAGGAACAGCTATCATGTAAATGAAGATATTTCAATGAAAAGACAGACCAACAAGCACTGTGAAGATACTAACTTATCAAGTATCTGTAGAATAGTCATTACTTCAGTATTTCAACAGTCTGTGGTAGTAGGGGAACAGGTCACACATTTTTGTTATCTCTCAGTTTTTGTTATTGTACCTCTTTCTACACAGATTGCCAGAGAGATGCAGGGACTCTCATTACGACACATAATAAACCCAACAGGCATGAAAGTCTGGAACAGTAATCAGAATCCAAATTACTCACCTACACTAACTATCAGCTTTGGCACACATTAAACTCTAGATAAGACCAAGATTTATCTTAGAAAATTCTGAAGTTACAGTTTTCATTTGGCAGTATTTGGTACATATTTTTTAAAGGACTAAGTGTGCTTACTCTCAAATCTCAACTTACACACTGTATTATAGCCTTCTCTTTAAAGATACCTGCTTGACTACCCTGTAGAAGCGTTTCATCTTCAGTAATATTTTCTGCAGACTGACAAATATTATCTTCATCTTTTGGTACTGCTGTCTGTTGTAATAGGTGTTGCTGTTTACGTTGTTCTCTTTCTTTCAGAATAATCTAAAAAAATATACGTATAAAACCCAAATCAATTCAATGTCACATAGATAACTAAGCAGTTTCCCTTACCAAATGTTTACATATAGACCATAAAGAAGTTTGGCACCACCATTCAAAGTATACATAATTTGGGGTTCTTTGGTGGGGTTTTTTTGTTTGTTTGTTTGTTTGCTTTAAATTTGCACATAAAAGGAAGGAAAATCTTGAGTCAGTCTAATAGATCGCTGTCGCTGAATTTGCTGGTTGAAGAAGAACAAGAGCAGAAATTACCACAGACAGTGAAGTATGGTAAAGGAAGGAAGGAAAGGTCATATGCTGGATCCAAACATGATACGGTAGGCGAAAGTAATAATCAGTTTCCTGAAACTCATCTTCCTTCTCTGCTTTTGTAGCTGCTAAGAAGCAGTTATTGTACATACGATCACTAGCTCAGCTAATCTACATAAAATCTGTAATTAATTACACCACAGAATCTAACTGCAAAAGTAAATTTCTCCATTTGCATTTGTCAAAGGTGAACAAAGAACAAAAGTAAGCTTCCTACGATACTATGAACACATATATTACACTAAGTAATCTTTGTATTCTCAAACCTACTTTGGAAACTGGATGGCATGAAGACAGAACAGCCCTAAGACAGTGATTAGTATCACCCCTTAGAGTTTGTTATATGCTACATGTTGTTTATATTGTACAGTTCTCCAATTCAGTTAAGCAGCACAGAATGACCACTAAACTACCTTCGCTCGCTCTGCAAGATTTGTTCTAGACCAAAAAGCGACCTAGTGATGGGAGTGGTATCTCAAAATCCTCTGTATAGAAGATGTGATGGAGGACAAAGTGAATGAACAAAGAGGGAAGATGCAAGAGAAATCGCCAGGTAGATCTGATACTAGCTGCTGCAGAATCAGCTGAAGTTCTGGCTTGGAAGAGAACAGAAATATTAAATACTACCTTTGTTTGATCCATTCTCCTCAGTCCTGCAAATAAACATCTCTTGTTCAAATCAAATAAGATTTATTTGGATGTTCCCCTGCACCAACAATGTGTGAACACTTCTGTACTGGCACTTCTTCAAATATCACATGATTTAAGTGAGAAAATGTATTTTGGAGGGATTTGTATATGCTATTTAGCAAGACTGCCCTCTTCTTCCCCACACCCCTCTCCCCTTTTTTAAACCAAGGAAAGCTAACATTCAGTTTAAACAAGCGGATGCTGAGATACAGATCTCCATATCAGAAAGTTTACCAAACTCAGAGTAATAATGAAGTTACATTAGACCATACTGTACTATTTGAGGTAAAAATATGAGGACCTTTTTAAGAGGTGTTGGTCTCTTTGCTTTAGGGACTTCTCTCTGTTTCCCTTTCTTTACCAAAGGAGCGCTGGAATCCAAAGGGTTATGAGGCATCTTTCCTTGGTTTAACCGGTGGCTTTTTGTGGCTGTAGCAGGTTCTTTAGAAAGCAATGGTATGGCACCACCAACTGAGATAAAAAAAGAGTGCATCAGACAACTCTTACAAATACCTAAACTAGAATCCAATGCAAGTTTAATGACTGGATTAGGACTAGTATAGACGTATTAAATTTGTGTTGTGTTGCTATAAGAGTATTTATAGGCAACCCTGTGTCATTAAACAATGTTATTTAATAAAGATACTCCTCCCGAAAGACTGACACGTCCTCTACTTCTATTATACAACTAGAATCACAAGCTCTGTCCCTGAACTCTCAAAAGCAGAATTTGGCAAAACAGTGCACTCCAAGCTACCTTCAACATCACGCTATGCTGGCTTGGTAAACCTTCAGCAGTCTCCACATTTCGTGGTAATGGCACTTCCTCAGCCACAGATTCTGTACTGTGTTAAGGTAAATGCTTAGTTGCAGTATTACAGGTTTTACATTTAATTGCTGTAAATAATCTGGAGCACTTACTCCTACCATTCGTTGCACCTTAATAAAGTTAGATGAAGCTCATTTGCAGATGGGTAATGAGTAATGCAAAGCTACAGCTAAGGCTCTTTTGCTTAACCAGCACAGCTCTCAGGAGATGTCTGCTTTACTTGGGTTTTTCAGAGGGTTTAAAGCACAGCAGCTTTAAATGCCTGGTCAAGTCACTGAACCTGGATCTTCCAAACCATGACCTTACACCGTAAAAACTACTCCCCTCCTTTTCAACTCCGATCAGTAGGAATTGCTGTATCCCGTGACAGCACTTTGTCAAACTTCGGTTACCTGCAATATAAACTAGTTACATTAGCAAGTCAAAGAAGAGGATGACATTAAGTATCAGTGGAATGAGCCTGACACCTTTGTGCCTCGGGCAACCTCTCTCCCCTAAAAAACACCCAAAGCTTCTGGCAGCTCGTCTTAAGCCGTCTTCACTTACTGCTTCAAAGTATTTATATGCTGATCCTCCAACACCACATACAGTACTATTAGCATAAACAGTTTACTTCATAAAACTGCAAAACCACATCTTTTCTGTTTTGGCTCTGTGTAACAAAGGCAAACTGAGAACACTGCAAAGAACACTGTGCAGTATGCTAGCATAGGGGGCTACAAGAATTGAAGCTGGATTTAAAGCAATACAGAGGTATACATCCTGCAGACACATATTTTCTTCACTGTGTACACCACCTCTCCGTTCCAAATTCACAGAGTTCTCATGTTCCTGACCTTGATGGCTTTGTTTGTGTCATTTTGCATGACTGATGCATTTCTAAAACGTAATTAAAAGTCAGATGATTGCTGCTTTACTATGCTGTTCCATTCACACATTATTCACCAAATGAAGTAGTAAGTCAAACAAAATAACTCTGTCTGCAGTGACACTCCTTGCCCATCTTGTCCACTGTGCTCTTCTGGTTACAGAGGTCAGCACAATGCCACTTCACAAACTAACGTTACATTTTGGCACACACCAATTTAATGGGTGCACTGAATGTTAATCAAAAAAAAAAAAAAAAAAAAAAAGTATAAAGTTGAGGTAACATCTGCCTTATACTTCCAGTATACAAACATGACACATCAATTTCTCTTCTGCAGCAGATTCAGACACAGGCAATTTAACATTAGAAAACAGACACTGTGACCCATACCTTTGTGCTCCACCATCTACTTGCCAACCCATGCAACGCATAGTTTTACAGAAACAAACCTGATTATTAGCACCTCTGCAGCGTTGAGTTTGACTGACTCAAATGAAAAAGAGAGATCAATTGCAGAGAAAGAATTTTAAAAAGCATCTTACAAGTTCTTTCAGTTAGTGAGGGAAAAGTCTCATCGCTGCTTGGTATTTTAATTTTTTTTATTTAAAAGCTCAGCTATTATTAAACATTGTGAGATGAATTCTCTCATGATTAACTCTCTGAGATAATTTTTTAAAAAATTATTTACTGAAATAAGGAGATAAATTTTACCATCATTAAATTTGATCAAACATCATTTTTGCAAAATACACTGCAGTAACAGCCAAGATTAAATTTTGACCTACAATGAAACAGATACTGAGCTATTTGTTTCTACTTCCTGGTTATGCATCCACAAGATCTGAAAGATTCTCTCCATCACCAAAACCTAGCATTTCGTTAACAGCAATTATTTCACAATTAATCAGGCATGGCAGAACTCATCCTCCGGCTTGGGCTGACTGAGTCTCATATAACCCCTGTGTTTGCAAAGCAGCTTTTTCACTCCAGTCACAGCTCTAGGATTTCTAGCACCAGAGCTGCTTAAGAAAGCCTTTGTTACTGCATAGGCCCTTCCTGCAGGTTCAGATCACAACATTAACACAGGTATTTAAGAGAAAGCAAAACCCTCCACAAACATCAGCATTTTTGCCAAAGCTAAATTTCAATCACCTCTCATATTTATACAAGGTATTCTTTGACATTTAAAACCTCTATTTTCTCTTGTACCTTGGGAACTGTACTCCTGTCTGCATATTCAGAGATCATTATAAATCAGAGATCAGGCTACGTTTAACATATGAATCCTTAAAAAAGACTCGACATGAAAGAAAGAAAATTTCATCATAACCAGTACCTGAAAACACCACAGGTTTAGAAGACTGTTTTGACTTCTCTGTTTGCTGCTTCTGCTCCAAGACTGCCAGCATGCCGCCCAAATCCAATTGCACAGGAATTTGACTCTTCTTACCACTGCTCCTGGATGTTTCCTGAACAAGTTCAGCACCAATTAGTAATGCTCTCCATTTCAGAATTCAAAGACTGTATTTTGTATGCTGTGCAACACACTCTTAACATCTTCCTCCACAATACTACACATTTTTAACTTGATTCAATGAAAGTATTTTGACCTTTAAATACACATCAATTTTAATACGAAAAATAAAAAATCAGAAACAGTTCAAATAGCTTTTGAAAAGCTACTAAGTATAAAGTCTTTAATAAAGGAAATTCTTTATGTCAGGTTCCTACTTTGGCCAGACTGCCACCTATCTTTGAAAAAGAAAAAAGGCTTACTAGAATTGAAAGTTTTGTTAAAAGTACAGAAAGTCTACCCTGTGAATCTTCCAGGGTATGTGACTGCAATACAAATATATCATTATCTTCAATGCCTTATCAGAAAGGGAGGTCATCACCTCTAAGCACCACCTCCTCATACACAGTAATCCTTCTGTCTGCTTTGAAGAGAAGGTAAAAGTGGTGTCCCATGCTTGGCACCACATTTAATGACTCAGAGTATACAAAGATTACAAATGAATGGCCTAGCAAAGACTACGAAGAGCAAACTATAATAGCAGAACACGCTGAAGAAATGACTCACAGATTTTGTGCTTTCAGAAGTCTTATCCTGGAGATTCAATTCATTATAGCTTCTGTTACAACAGGGCTAAGGAATGCGACCTCCTCCTCTTGAGCCTAGGATCTCATCTTGCATCAGAGCTATGCCAGAACCTACCCACCAGCATGGAACTACTTACTGACTTCACTGTTGCTCTGTATTTCTCCTCCTTGTCTCCTTGCCTTAACCTGGCAGACCCACCTTTAAGAGGTTCCCAGCTCGGTAAAACAATCACTTTGGACTGGATTAAATAAGATAGGTGAAAGAAACACTCCTGATACCCGAAACTCGCAGACTTTAATGAAAAGCTAGAATTTTTCCCTAAACACTGTTATCACAAACTAAGGGCCAGCAATTATTACCACTGAGTGCTTCTAATCAAGAGGATCTTGTCACTAATCTCAAAGTATGAATGACAAAGTATGAATACAATCGCAGATGAGCTTGGACTTAGTCTGGTATTTAAATATGCTAACTTCCTTTGTAATTTTGAGCTGTAAACTTCTCTTCAAACACGAATTAATTTACCTGCGTCTTCTTTCTTTCTAATACAGAAGATGAAGCATGCTTCCCTGACTGTCCATCCACCTTGGGAGTTCCATCCAGTGTGGGAGACCGACTATCCCAAGGCTCTTCAGGGAGATGGATCTTTGGAATTTAGAGACAAAAGGCAACAAGGAGGAAGAGAAAATATTTAAAGACACACAGAGAAGGGTCAAGTTAAGATGATACCAAATTCAAATGGAACATAGATAGTGGGACTGAGTGCATCCTCAGCAAGCCTGTGAATGACACCAAGCGGAGTAGTACAGCTGGTACGCTGGAGGGATGGGATGCCACCCAGAGGGACACAGCCTTGAGGAGTGGGCCTGTGTGAACCTCACGAAGTTCAACAAGGCCAAGTGCAAGGTCCTGCACATGGGTCGGGGCAACCCTGGCTATCAATACAGGCTTGGGGGGGGGGGTGAAGGGATTGAGAGCAGCCCTCCAGAGAAGGACTTGGAGGTCCTGATGGATGAAAAGCTGGATATGACCCAGCAAAGTGTGCTCGCAGCCCAGAAAGCTAATTCTGTCCCAGACTCCCACCAAGAGAAGTGTGGACAGCGGGTCAAAGGAGGTGATTCTGCCCCTCTACTCTGCTCTGGTGAGACCCCACCTGGAGTCCCGCATCCAGCTCTGGAGCCCTCAGCACAAGAACATGGACCTGTTGGAGCAGGTCCAGGGGAGGGCCACAAAAATGACCCGAGGGCTGGAGCACCTCTCCAAGGAGGACAGGCTGAGAGAGTTGGGGCTGTTCAGCCTGGACAAGAGAAGGCTCCTGAGACCTTATTGGGGCCTTCTAAAAGTGTGATCATTTATTGGCTGCCATGCTGCTTAGACTCACGATTTCCTTCCTTTTTTCAGATTTGGATCAAAAAACTAGCAAGGCAGCTTCATCTTCAAATATTTTTTATAGAGGAATGTAAGTGGCTTAATAATCACGTCTCCATGACTTACATAAGATTTGAGAGATTACTGAGAGATTATATCCTACTTACACCTGCAAAGCTAAAAGGTTTCTCTCATATGAGGTGCAAGTTTGTATAGCACTTTATAACAAATCTGGTCTGAGCAATTACCACACATTTTGCTGCCCATTCCTCCCTCTCCAGGCAATTTACTGCCTCAAATGAAGTAAACAAGGGTTTTGGGTTTTCTGTGCTTTGGCTTTTTTTAAAACCACTAATATTCACAGTGAAATAAAACCAAGGACAAAAATTTCAAGCAGTAAAACTAGTTTCAAAGAAACAGAAACCTGGAATTTCACCTTTATTATTTATGTTACTTGCTTTACAAGAGCAATCGTATTTCCAATCCTTCTGATTCATGCTTCGGATTCATTCCCATATGGAATGAATTTCCAAATTAATCCCTGGGATTTATTTCACTCACATAAAAAAAATAGCTTGGATTTATCATTGATATTAAGACTCCAATTCTTACCTTTGCACAGCTTGAGAACAAAGTGTCACACTGTTCAGATGTCCTTGAAATTTGATTATATGAACAAACAGCAAAGGCAGAAACTGAAACAGTCTTAGTATTATTTTTATGAAACGCAAAATTAAACGAGAACATTACCTGTAGGAAAATAAACTACAGGAACACAATTCATCTCAACTAACTTCGAGCGTCCACAACAGAGGTGTCTGTATTTGAATTAGTAGCCCAGAGCTCAGGAAACAGTTCAGAGATCAAAAAACGTATCTCCTTTGGAATGATATGAATCTACTGAGTACAGTGAGTACTCTACACAGAGTACCTAAGCAGATTGCCATGGGCAGAGCCCCACATCACAAGCACCTACATTTAGTGAAAAGAATTCCACCTTTAGTTTCATGTGGAACTTGCAGTCTTTTCCTACTTATTTGCTTAACATTCACGTAACGTCGTAAGATTACTTACTTCAGACTGCTTTCTAACAGCAGGAGTAAATGATGATTTCTGAGTTCCTAGCCTGTTTCTCCTATCAGAAGCTGCTGTCAGATCAGGAAACTCCTCAGCATCCTAAACAGATAAATCAGAAGACAATTTTATCAGAACGATCAAATCCATACTCTCAGAACTCATTTTCCTACTTTCAGACAATTTTCTTCCTGCTTATCAAATCATCATCACTTGTTTCACTGCACAAAAATTCAGAAGCCAAGTGCAGTGCCACCAACTATAATCAGCACTACAACGGTCATCTAAGCAGCAGCTAATTCAGGGCTGAAAGAGTTTACAAGAGCAATGCTTCCAATAGCAGCTTGTTATTGCTGTCAGCTGATACAAGTAATTAGAGGTAAATGGCTCCTAAAGGAGTGTTTTTCAGATCATTTAACAGCCTTGCAAACAACTTCCCTCCTCTTCCAGTACAGTTTCCAGCTGTGCAATTCTGTCTTAAACACGTGAATGGTGAAGAACTAAAAGGGCAGGCAAAAGGGTAATAACTCTTGACTACAGTATAGAAATAAACAGATAAATCACTCGAGTGATTATGCAGGCTTTACACAAGAGTAAATTTTATTAGCAGAAGATAGTTAATGCGGAGTCTGGATAATGTAAGTGCAGACAGGCTGAAGCTCGGTCTACACTGGTCACCTTATCTCCACTGCCTCAGTCCTAAGGATCCGGATCCACCAGCTTGATTGTCATCGAATTGCTTCTCATCCCACTTTCCAAGAAGCCTTTTTATCTGCGACACAATACTACCGAAGCACCAACACTTCTGCAGCCCAAAAGAATTCATTTAAACAGCCCAAGCTAGGAAGTTCTAGCCTAAGGACAGACACACCTCACTCAATGAGCTATTTTTAAAGAAGTTTGGAAGTGTGCCAAAAGACAACTCCAAGAAAGGGAAAAATGTTTCACAAACACACTCTTCCAGTTTAGGGACATCGTGAACCAGAGGCAGTACCTTTGCATTTAAATAGCCCTCACTCACGTAAATTTTTATTTCAGCCCATCCAATTACTTCTTGAATTAAAATATATTTCTGCCATGTGCAACATTCTGTAGCAAAATGAATAATTAAAATCTAGCATTCATTGTGACATTGCATCTCATTATATTTGTTCTTAACTCACCATCTATAAGAACCAGAGGACCTCAAGCAGAATTAGAAGATGAAATGATTTCCTTTTTACTTCTCTGTCACTTCTGATTTCCACTTCGCCATCTATCTTACAGACAGAGAAGTCCTAATTTATTCAGTCTTGCCTCCCACAGAAATTACTTCATACCTTCGATTATTTTTGGAGACTCTTGTCTACATTTTTTAGTTCAAGTATGTATATTTTTTTAAGGAGTGGGGGAAACAAAAATAAAAAATATCCACACTGTATTTAGATCAGACATGTCCTGGACTTATGTATTGCCATAATCCACTTTCTTTTCTATTTTCCTAATAATTCCCAGCATTGTTTGCATGTTTGACCAGTACTACCAGCATGGACCAGATTATCAATAGCAGCTTCAATTTTTTACCCCTCAAGCAAAATGCCTAGCCCAAGGCCTATGACCGTGTATGGAAAAACAGGATTACCTTTCCCCATATGCATTCATTTATGCTCATGAACATTGTCAATGAGTGAGCAACTTTTATAAACTAGTAAGCAACACAATATATTGCTCTGGTGAGCTGCTGCACATAGCAGAAACTTCTTCAGTCTCCAGGGTGTCCAGCAGTTCTGTGTGTATGATCCTTTCATGCTCTTCTATTTCCAAAGTATCATACAAATATTTCACCCGTTATTCACCTGGATGAGCACACAAGCATTCCCAGCAGATCAGGAGGGTCTGGAAGCTGTCCCCCGCTGCCAGAACAGATGCTGCATCCACATCATGGATTTCGGTGCAATGCATATACCCTGTTTCATGATTCTATGCCTTTTTTTTTTTTTTTTGCCCATTTTGTCTTCAATAGTCCCATTACCTTCCTACTATTTCCATGACTCCCGCCATTCTCCTTCCGTTCAGATGATCAGTCATTTGCAGATCAGACACTGTATGGTAGCACGTAGTAAAAATGGGGATGTTCTCATGAAGGACAGAACCTGCAGATCTTTGATTCTACCCATAATTCTCTATCAAAGAGGCCTGCAAACAGTCATGTGCTGTGCTGTTCCACGACAATGAACCACACAAAAAAAAGAACATGTAGCTACAGTTCTGCTCCATGTTCCATGTTAAAATGTACGCACAGAAGCCAGCCAGGAAGGCTTCTTTATGCTGTCATTTCACAGACTGAACATTATGTACACTAGATCAAACATGTAAGTCACCACATATACATAGTGGCTGTACAATATTGGGCTTTCAGTGAAGCACTGTTAAACCACGGACCATACAACAATTCTCTAATGTGGTACAGCCTAAAGCCTTCATGATACTGATAAACAAAAGCATCAAAATACTAATATGCATATTATAGCGATATGAATTAAAAAAAAATGGAACTAGCAATCAGGAATACAGCAGAGACAACTGTGCTACACAGAAACTGTTTCCAGATGCGAGATGAGTAGAATTGTAATACTAGTACCTTGTTCTTTAAAACTGTGGCACACTATAGTACCCAGCGTATTCCCCGTACCCTTGTGCACTTTGCTTTCTGCAACTGTTACTACAGAGTATTTTTAATTTAGGAAATGTGACTTTTATTGTTACCTATTAACACCGAAACTCTCAGATGCATCATTCCAAATCTGCTCCTAAATCACTGTGCTCAGTGAATACATGGTAAGTCAAAGTGCACAACCGTTCTCCATCAGTAACTTCTAACAAACAGTTCAAATGAAATGGACCTGAACCAATAACTCTACAAATGTGACTTGAACTTAGATTTGTACAAAGCTGTGTTAACATCTGGACTTAAAATACACTCGTAACACTTAAAAGAACAGCAACAAAACCTTCTTCACTGTACCTCAATCCTTGGTGGTTCCTGTATTGTAGTAGATTCATTCTGAGGTTTCTCTACATCAGTGGGTGACTTTGTTTTTTTCTTCTTTTTCTTCTTTTTTTTCTTCTTTTCTGACCCTTCTTCAGGCTCAGTTTCACTAGCATCATTCTTTGTTTCTGACTGCTGAAAAATATCATGAGGCACAACCATTAGAAATTCATTTATTTCAACACCACCTACCAAAATAAATGCAAGTGACCATACTTCTACAACTAAAGGCTATCTTAATCCATCCAAGCTAGGACAGTAAGTGGGCAAGGAAAATTCAAGATGTCTTAGAAATTTAGAGCTACTGCAAAAACTCTTCATTTGAAGCATGTTGCAGTTATCAGAACATATCAGGACTACTGAGATTTCAATAGGAAATATCCACCCAAATAAGGCAAGAGTTCAGGTTTCATGTCTCATTCCAAGAGTCAGGAATTTGAAAAAAGTTCAGCCTAAAAGTAATGTATTCAAATCAGCTATTTTGGAAGTTCATCTTGCTAGAGTAGCATTGTCTTTCTGACATCTTGTTATTCTTTTCCACTACAAGAGAAGAAAAATTCTAGTAAGCACAAGCTAACTTTATATTACTTCTTAAAAGCTACATTAGAAGGAGACACTGTACAGAGCCTAGGAAAAAAATGGCAATGTCTCACATCAAGAGACACAATCGCACAGTCACAGAAATTAGTTTAGAGCAGACAATTCTCAAGCACCTTTGCTTCACTATCCTGCTTCCCTTTGCCTCTGGAAAGACCTTCAGATGCTGGTGACAACACAATTTTCTTTGGGGGCTGTGAAAGTACCATGGCCCAAGACACATGTGGCTGAGCAGAGCCATCTGCAGGTGTTTGAGGAAATGCTGTTGGGAAAAATGATGTACAAAGATATGTCAAAAACACTTCTCAAATATTCAAAAGGATCAGTAATGAGTTAATCAAGGACTACCAAATACAGCAGAGAGCTAGATTCCTTCTGAGGAAGGACTGAAATAAGGTACTCACTCACACATGTAATTTCCCCAGAAAGCTTTCTAGAATTGTAACTACTTCATATATTGTCTGGCACTATATACATACACTTAGCCCAATTAAATTATAATTGGAAATCTATACTGTGTCATACTAACACGTACAAATAATCCCATGCTCATTTACTAAGCTATTTTTCTTTAAAATTATGAACTTCTGCCATATTTATACGCAAAATTCCTTTAATATTTATCTCACGCAGTCACACAGCTTTCATGTACAAGGCCATATCAGTATTTTCTACTTTCTAAAAACTTCCGAGTTTTACAGACATACGTACTAGCTGAAAGACTTCCTAATGTGTCTCACTGTACAAGAGTTTCACCCACTACCACTCAGAGGTATCAATGTTTTGAAAGAACTCACAATTAATTTTGTAAAAATTCCTAACACACAGCAAATACAGAACAAAATCAAAATTTTTCTTGAAGAATGAGAAAAATTTTCACTGAACAATTAAATATCATAATGGGTTTACATGGCAAGGTTTTGGTAGCGTGGGGAGGCTGCAGGGCTGGCCTCTGTGAGAAGGTGGACGCTGCCAGCCCCAGCTGGCTCCAAAATAGATGCACTGCCAGACACAGCTGAGCCCATCCGAGATGCCAGTGGCACCTATGTGATAACATATTTAAGAAAGGGTAAAAAAACACTGTGGAGGATTTGTGAGAGGGAGGGGTAAGAAAAAAATGTGAGAGGAACAGCCCTGCAGACACCAAGGTTGGTGAAGAAGGAGGGGCAGGAGGTGCTGCAGGTACAGGAGCACAGATGCCCCTGCAGCCCCTGGAGAAGACCACGGTGGGGCAGCACCCCCCCCGGCAGGCCTGCAGAGGAAGGAGCAGTAGAGAGGAGCTGTTATGAACTGACCACAACTCCCCATTCCCCTGTGCCACTCAGGGCAGGGAGCAGGTAGAAGAGTCTGGAACGAATGAGTGAAGACGAGGCTGGGAAGAAGAGAGAGTGGGGGGAAAGCTGTTTTAGTTTTGATTTTGTTTCTCACCATCCTACCCTATTTTTAACTGGCAAGAAATTAATCTTCACCAAGCCGAGTCTGCTTGCCCGTGATGCGCGACTGGCGAGCAATCTGCCTGTCCTTATCTTGACCCACGATTTTTTTTTTATCTTATCTTCTCCTCCTGTCCTGCTGAGTGGGGAGAGTGAGAGAGCAGCTGGGTAGGAGTCTAGCCGCCAGCCAAGGTCAACCCATCACAAACTGGTACTTTGTTCTGGAGGACAGGCACTGAGGATAGTGTTTGAGGAAAAAACATTATCAGGTAAGCTTAAAGTTTCTGGAATAACTTTATCTTTAGAGGGCTGTTCAAAGCACTTCAACAGATTAACCTGTCCTTCCCGAATCCTTAACTGAAGCCAGTGGGAAGGTAAGGACCAAACTGGCCAGACCGCTATGTTTTTGCATACACTCAGAAATCCAGTAAGAGGCACTTAGACAAT